CCGCGCGAGGACGTTTTGTTGCTTCGTCGACCAAAGCGCAAGCGGATCTAGCTAGACCGGAAACAAAAACAACAGTCACGACGCTGCACACACTTGTTTAGGCTTGCGAGCCGGCCAAATAGTTGGTTAACGTTACGTTTTGAGTGGATGACGAGCGCGAGACACCGAAATGGATGCCAATGAGACAGTGGCGGTTCTACATTGAATTACACCCTGGGCGAGACCCCCTTCGAGCGCCCCCCCCCAAAGAAAAACAACAACAATAAAATCACATACCGTTCATTTGAAAAAAAAAACAGTAAGAAAATCCAGTTATTTTGCTATATTAATCTAACTTTCAGGGAGGAACCATTAGCTCATTGGTTACTGCCTCGAATGGCACACTTTTAGTTATGAATGATAATTTTGCTGAAAGTGAATCAATCAAAACCAACTTTAGCTGGAAATAACATTATTCAAAATCGCTATAAAGCCAAAACAATCTCTGTTACCGTAAATTGTATGTTTATCTCTGTAAAGCTGCTTTGAAACAATCTCCATTGTTAAAAGCGCTTTATAAATGAAGATGACTTGACTTGACTTGACATGACTTGTTAAACTATACTTTGTCACGAAATAGAGTTTTTAAAAGTGAAAGTGGCCGAGAGATACTTATGTAGTAACACAATACTTATCTCTTAAATAATTTCTAATAACTCTAATATTAACAACTATCCAAACTGTTTTAGACCTAAAATAGCTTAGGCCTTAGGCCTTAATGTCAGAGAAAAGGACAGAATCAGAGATTATTTTTTAATAGAAAATTGTACTTTGCATATTATAGGCTACTGTAAAAACACATAATTATAGTTGTATAGTATAGTTATATTTTAGTTGATCATTATGAAAATTACTTTCATTTCATGAATATAGTGACCAAAATGATCACGGTCAAACACAGAATCTTGTTCAAAAAGTAGGCCTAATACACAATGAAATCTATTCACCAAGGTAATAACATTAAAGATGATGGCCAAATTTTAAAGGAGTGTGTTTTATGTTATCTAATAACATGTACACGTTCAAATAAACTTTTGACAAAAAAGGTTTTATAAAAAGATAAACCTCACATATTTCAGCCTTTAAATCATCTTTATAAAAAGAATGGGTCAATAAAGATAAATTCCTGACATTTATAATGCACAGTAGCTTATTTTTTATTATTAATAGTAAAATTCGGTCCGATTTTCCCATGGCTGTTGTTGCTATACAACCATGCACTGCGCTCTCCACAACGACAAAGAAGTTTTAGTAGCTAATGTATTTCCACCACAGAAAAACGCTTGCTGTAGCTCTGCTAAAAGATTTATTTACGGAGAAGAGAAAAACACCCACGTGTTTGGGTGCACCCCCATACTGAAAAGTAAAAAAAATGTTCATCTCGCTGCTCCTGGAAAAAATGAGCGCGTCGCTTCAATTATGACCGCGCTTCCCGTGCGCCTACATTTGAAATAACGAACTCGAGCGCGCAAAAGACGCGATATGTGAACGGCCCCTTGGTGAGTTACCTCCAATCAGGAGACTCCCTTGACATCGATTCTGTACACGGCATCTTCTCAGCAAGCAGGGGCGCCATTGCCAATAATTGAATTGAAATGATAGAAAATAGAAAACCTTCGCGGCGCAGAGGATTTTTTTAACTGCTCGTACCGCCCCCCATGTGACATGAAAAAATGCCGCCCCGGGCGACTGCCCGGTTCGCCCGTGCCTAAAACCGCTACTGCAATGAGATTCTGAATGGAAAGTTTACTTTTAAAAAGTTGCCAAATGGTTCCATTGACGAGACCAAAGTGATCTGTGTGTTTTGTCGTTGTGAACTGAGCTATCATCATCGCAGCACGTCCAGTCTGAAATACCACTTGATGATGGCCAAGCACACACACACACACACACACACACAGCTGATGCGAATTCTCCGCCCCCTCGTCAATATCAGGACCTCGTCAGTATTTCTTTCACCCTTTTATTGATGGACAGTGTTACATTGTGTGAGAGATTATTTGCTCCAAGTGAGAATGTTAGTGTGAAATTGAACACAGTATATGCCAATGCTGTTTTCAATAAAAAACATTTGCACAAAGCAAGCCGATCCACTTTTCCATGTTGATAAGAGCATTAAAATGAGAAAAAATAATGGGGCAAAAAGAAATCAAGAGACATTTAGAATAGATAAAAATGTGCGATTAATCGCGAGTTAACTATGACATTAATGCAATTAATCGCGATTAAATATTTTAATCGTTTGACAGCACTAATTATATTATATTGTATTGTATTATATTATGGTTGTTGCGATGCTAAAATGTTGTTAGTTGATTCCAGTACATTTTTCAATAGTAGTACTCTCTATTGCCGATGCCGTAGAAAGATTAGTTCTGTTGTTGTATTGTTTTTTTAACCTGTATATGCATTTTTGCCAAATTGATTTTTTTTTTATATTTTTTTTTTTTATATATATATATTATTTATTATTTATTTTATGATTTAAAAAAACATTTTTTTTATTGATATGTGAATCCTTTTTTTTTTTTTTTTTTTTTACTAACGTCTGATTGTTTCTGTGTGGCAGGAGTTTCCTGCATCTGGGCGCAGGCCTCAGCGTGGGTCTGAGCGGGCTGGCGGCCGGTTTCGCCATCGGCATCGTGGGAGACGCGGGCGTCCGTGGAACCGCCCAGCAGCCGCGCCTCTTCGTCGGCATGATCCTCATTCTGATCTTCGCTGAAGTCCTGGGTCTCTACGGCCTCATCGTAGCCCTGATTCTCTCAACCAAATAAACTGGCGGTCAGCATGCAGCGCTGCCGGGCCGCACGACGGGGGAGGCGGAACAAAAAATCAAGCGGGAAGGGGGAAAAATAAATGGTACCTTAAACTAAAATGAAATTAGATGAAGTGAGAGGTAGGAAAGTAATCCTACACATTATAACAGGCTTTGCGTTTGGTTTTATCTCTGAAAGTGTACAGTCGTCCAGTTTGATAGTTTTGATTTCTTGTAAATGCGGTATATAGTGATTTTGTGTTGTGTTTGTGAAGAGAAAATAATAATATAATAATAATAATGTAATAGATCTCATTCTCTGTTTGTTTCCCACACCCCTCCTGCCTATCGATCTGTTATCCAATCACGCGTTCTCTTTCGCTCCCTTCACGCCTCTTGTACCGGTCTCTTCCTGTCACGTGATTTGGGAGTTTTATAAATTTCCACGTTGGTGTCAAAGAAGTGTTTGTGAAGTGGAAAAAAACGCACTGATGAATCTGTTTGTGGAATGGAATAGTTTTTGTTAACGTCCATTTTTGTTTTCCACTGATTTTATTCATTAAGATATTGTTCATGAAAATGTACTTGAAGCTCCTCAAATCCTTTGAATTGATATTTATATAAACATAAATCTCTATATATAATAAATACAGATATAAGAATAGACCTGCACTGGCCGGTGTTCCGCTTCTGAGTGCAGTGTTGGGGAGTATTTCAGCTTGGTGTGTGTATTTATGGTTGTTTCCTGTGTATATCTGATGTTTGGTTGTATTAAAGGTGTGCGTGTGCCCTTCGTGGGTCTCACAAGTGTCATTTCCATATGCCTATGTTTCCAGTGCTTTTTCATCATTAGACGGACCGTGTGAATGTGTTCAGTTGTGTATCTGACCTTGCAGTCCTCAGCCTCGACCTTGATAATAATTCACCTGCAGCACTGATAGATTTACAGCTAATTTCACTCCATTTTTAGAGTAAATTACTTCAATATTCGCAATCAAACACTGGATCTCATTCGCTAATAATTATGTGGATTATTTCTATTACCACACACACAAATCTGGTTATTGCTAATGCAGTGGTTTTCAACGTTTTTGACTCAAAAGGCCCTCCAATTCTTTTTTTAATTGACAGAACTGGGACTGTTGATATATTAAATGAATTAAACTAGTTTCATTTTGTAATTCTATGATTCAAGATTCTGATGCAAGTGTGTTTTCCAATTAAAAACAGTATATTAATTAAGTGCACGTTAAGCCTAATTGTACTATCTTAAATCACCCTGAGCCTGAGCTCATCTATGAAGTTTGTTAAGAACCGCTGTTCTACAGTCAATTAATTTTGAACATTCCAAATTAACAACCACGTGTCCGAGATAAGTAATTAGCATAGAACGCGCCCAGACAATACCCATATAAGGGCTTTCCGCACAACTTTTTTTGTTTTTTACGACGCGCGTCGCGCGAAACTAATATCCTCAGAAAAATAATTGTGATATCCTCAAAACAAGTTCAAAGAAATCTATTTAAGAATAAATATATCGTTCAACACATTTATAAGGACACCTAGATAGATTACTTTTGTGTGCTTGAACTCGTTCGAATCAAGTTATTGATTAATCGTTTGTTCGTGAAAACGTTTAAGTACGCCGCTTTCACGCGCATATTCATGTGTACGCATTGGTTAGTGAATGAAGTGCACTGGACTGTGCAATTTCAAGCTAAATTAAACAATGTTAAATGATTTGTGTTGGGGATATTAGGAGGGTTGACTAAAATTAAAACTCTCTTTGACCTATGAACTATAAGAGAGATTAAAATGAGACAAACGCTGTGTCCGAAACCACTCACTCCTTCACTAATCCCTATATAGTGGATAGGGAGCGATTTCAGACACAGCTAAAGAATTCCATACCTAAAAGTTGTAAAAAAATATTATGACTAAATACTATCTTTTACTTGTCGTTGTTCACTTAAAATGTGCATATTTGTTAATATTGCATGGAAATAGTGGAAAGACCAGGCCAAAGGGGATCGTCCTCGTCATGGAGAACATAAAAATGGGTAAAGGTTACTGCATTTTTCTTGTTGTGTTAAGAACATGTAATAACACCTCATTTGCTTTTCATTGTTTATAGTCAATTATCTTTTTTTTAATAGCTATTTACAAGGTACACAAAGACCACAAATTGTTTAATATTTAGTATTTCTTTTATTGAAAGTTGCACCAGTATGAAAAACACTGCATTCCCAATAACATATATCTCCAGATTTAATGGGAAAAAACACATTTACAGATAAATTCTCTCTTAACAAATGACATCACATGTAACATGAATGTGACGCGTCCTCTCTCAGTCCGTGTTGGTGTGTTTCAGGCATCCAGGCTGCTGAGGAGAGTGTTTGCTATATCACTGATGGCTGTGTATGTGCTGCTCTCTGGAAACACCTGCAGGAGATCCCGTCCCTCATCTAAACGCGCTGTCAGGAGAGGATCCAGCGGGACTGAGCCTACAGACACAGACTTATGTCATCTGCAGTGCTGGTGTACACACTGGGGGCCCGAAAGTCTGAGGCCACCAGTCAAAATGCTTCCAAAATGTTATTTTTTTTAATGTAATATATATATATATATATTTAATTACAAATAATTATAATTTAGTTATTATTATAAATAAATACAAATACATTTTCTATAATAAAGAATAGAATAATAGTATCAAATCATTAATAATAGAATTAATAATGATTTGAGCATCTTGAACTCCAATGGAAGAAAATCAACATAATGAGAAAAATTTACATTTTATATTTTTTTAAACTGAAATTTACATTTGGCTTCAAAATAGTACATAATCCTTATTTTCTTAGTTTGTTTTAATTTTTGAATGGTAATTCTTAAACATTTAGCTTTTTTCAGGCATAAAAAAATTCAGATTTTCAATGTGACCTCAGACTTTTATTGCAAATAATTATAATAAATAAATAAATAAATATATATATATATATATATATATATATATATATATATATATATATATATATATATATATATATATATATATATATATATAAATTCAATTATCATTAAATTTCTGTAAAAAGTTAACATGAATTCAAGTACGCATTAATATTTGGTTTGACTGACGTGAACATCATGTTCTCCATCATAATTTGAGCTCAAAATAGAGGAGAATCTTCAATATTTCTTGTGCATTTTACATCATAAGTTTGCTTAAATTTTTGTATGGTAATACTAAAACATTTAGCTTTTTCAGGCTGAAAAAAAATCCCAGATCTTCAATATGCCCTCAGCCTTTTGGACCCTACTATATTTACTGACAAATCCACAGGTCTCATGTCTATCCTGTACTCAAACTCATTTAAACACACACTGAGAAGACGTGCACCATCGAGTGGTGAATAGTGGAACAACACAAGTCAGAAGTGTTGGTCAATCATCAGCACATTACCTAGAAACACAGATCCTGTGAGCTTGGCTAATTCCTCACCTCCACCTTTAGAAAAAATGTTACTGCACTCCTGAAAAACACACATCCGCCAGTGTAAAGTTTAAATCAAGATTATTAGGTTAGTTTAAGGCATTTCCCAGTACAGCTGTGTGTTTGTACACTCACAGAACAGTGTGGACACACATAGCCGCTCATGTTCTCCACAATGCCCAGGATTTTCACACCGGTCTTCTTACAGAAGGTGATCTCGCGCCTCACGTCTCCTGTAGACACTGCCTGGCATTTTAAAGGGTGTTTATGCATGTTATTCAGCAGACAAGAGATTTACAGTACCAGTATGACAAGGACATCAACCCTGAGTGAGAGTGTGAGTGAGTGAGTGAGTGAGTGAGTGAGCGAGTGAGTGAGTGTGTGAGTCAGTGAGTGAGTGTGTGAGTGAGAGAGTGTGTGTGAGTGAGAGAGTGTGTGTGAGTGAGTGAGTGTGTGTGAGTGAGTGAGTGAGAGTGTGTGTGTGTGAGTGAGTGAGTGTGTGAGTCAGTGTGAGTCAGTGAGTGAGAGAGTGTGTGTGAGTGAGTGTGTGAGTGAGTGAGTGAGTGAGTGAGTGAGTGAGTAAGAGTGTGTGTGTGTGAGTGAGTGTGAGTGAGTGTGTGAGTCAGTGAGTGAGAGAGTGTGTGTGAGTGAGTGAGTGTGTGTGAGTGAGTGTGTGTGAGTGAGTGAGAGTGTGTGAGTGAGTGAGTGTGTGTGGGAGTGAGTGAGTGAGAGTGTGTGTGAGTGAGTGTGTGAGTCAGTGAGTGTGTGAGTCAGTGAGTGTGTGAGTCAGTGAGTGTGTGAGAGTGTGTGAGTGAGTGAGTGAGTGTGTGAGTGAGTGTGTGAGTCAGTGAGTGAGAGAGTGTGTGTGAGAGTGTGTGTGAGTGAGTGTGTGAGTCAGTGAGTGAGAGAGTGTGTGTGAGAGTGTGTGTGAGTGAGTGTGTGAGTCAGTGAGTGAGAGAGTGTGTGTGAGTGTGTGTGAGTGTGTGAGTGAGTGTGTGTGTGAGTGAGTGAGAGTGAGTGAGTGTGTGAGTGAGTGAGTGAGTGAGTGAGTGAGTGAGTGTGTGAGTCAGTGAGTGAGAGAGTGTGTGTGAGTGAGTGAGTGAGTGAGTGAGTGTGTGTGAGAGTGTGTGTGAGTGAGTGTGTGAGTGAGTGAGAGAGTGTGTGTGAGTGTGAGTGAGAGTGAGTGAGTGAGTGAGTGAGTGAGAGAGTGTGTGTGAGTGTGTGTGAGTGTGTGTGAGTGAGAGTGAGTGAGTGAGTGAGAGTGAGTGAGTGAGTGAGAGTGAGTGAGTGAGTGAGTGAGTGAGTGAGTGAGTGAGTGAGTGAGTGAGTATGTGAGTGTGTGTGTGTGAGAGTGTGTGTGAGTGAGTGAGTGAGTGAGTGAGTACGTGAGTGTGTGTGTGTGAGTGAGTGAGTGAGTGAGTGAGTGAGTGAGTGAGTGAGTGAGTGAGTGAGAGTGAGTGAGTGAGTGAGAGTGAGTGAGTGAGTGAGTGAGTGAGTGAGTGAGTGAGTGAGTGAGTGAGTGAGTGAGTGAGTATGTGAGTGTGTGTGTGTGAGAGTGTGTGTGAGTGAGTGAGTGAGTGAGTGAGTACGTGAGTGTGAGTGAGTGAGTGAGTGAGTGAGTGAGTGAGTGAGTGAGTGAGTGAGTGAGTGAGTACGTGAGTGTGTGTGTGTGAGTGAGTGAGTGAGTGAGTGAGTGAGTACGTGAGTGTGTGTGTGAGAGAGTGTGTGAGTGTGTGAGTGAGTGAGAGTGTGTGAGTGTGTGAGTGAGTGAGTGTGTGTGTGTGAGTGAGTGAGTGAGTGAGTGAGTGAGTGAGTGAGTGAGTGAGTGAGTGAGTGAGTACGTGAGTGTGTGTGTGTGAGTGAGTGAGTGAGTGAGTGAGTGAGTGAGTGAGTGAGTACGTGAGTGTGTGTGTGAGAGAGTGTGTGAGTGTGTGAGTGAGTGAGAGTGTGTGAGTGTGTGAGTGAGTGAGTGTGTTTACCTGCGGTGTAGTGACCAGCACGGCTCCGTCCACTTTATGTTTGCGCAGGTTCTCGACCACGGCCAGGTGTTCGTCTGACGTCCCCGGTGGCGTGTCCACTAGCAGAACGTCCAGTTCGCCCCATGCCACATCACTGACAAACTGCCCAATCAGAGCTGGAAAAGTGACGGGGGATATGAGACGGGAACACATCAGGTACCAAAGTTCAAAAACTCAACTCAAGGTGAAAGGTCAGACCTGTTGTTGGAGCTACATTAGTTTGCTTTCAGTAGTGGTAATTTTGTTAGTAAATTTGTTTATTATTATGATTTTGTTGACATTAGTAATATATATTTTGGTAATGTTCTTTTGTTTGTTTGTTTAGTTAATTGTTTTTATTTATATGTTTACTCTTTATTTTTGGTTAGTTTAATAACTACAATGTTTGATTTGGACACCTGAGGGCAGTAGTGGGCACAGGTTAAGGTAAAATAGGTAGGAAGTAGGAGGTGGCCTGTAGCACCTGGGTGATGGGCATATGGTTTTTTACCATGCTGTATTGTTTGCTCAGTTGGAACAATTAAACCAGCCACAAACCCTGAATCCAGCCTGGAATTTGATTTGATTTCTTGCCTGCGTACATCACCTGCCCAGGGTGCTAGAAGTTGTCGTTTGAAGGTTTGATTTAAGTTTAATTCTCTTTTGTTTGTTGACAAACGACCGCTACACCTGTTTTTTTGGGCCCCCTCCACACGACGGCCTCATCCGAGTCCTCCAGCAGGAAGCCGATGGACATGAGCGCGAGCTTCTGCTGAGGGTCTGCGTACACGGGAACCCAGCCCGAGTCACACTGATGCACCTCCGGCTTCCCCACGCTCAGCATCCGCGGGATACTGGGCCCACACAGATCCACATCCAGGATTCCCACCTACAAAGCAAAACAGAATATTGGAATAGAGCTGTACTGTATATAATAGAATAGAGCAAAACTGAATATTACAATAGAGCTGTATATAATAGAATAAAGTAAAACAGAACATAATGAAATAGAGCAGTATATAATAGAATAGAGCAAAACAGAATATATTAAAATAGAGCTGAATATATTAAAATAAAGCAGAAGATAATAGAAAAGAGCTAAATGAATATAATAGAGCAAAACAGAATATATAAAAATGGAGCAGAGCAGAATAAAACAGAAGATATTAGAAAGAATAGAGCAAAACAGAATATATAAAAATGGAGCAGAGCAGAATAAAATAAAACAGAAGATAATAGAATAGAGCAAAACAGAATATATTCAAATAGAGCTGAATATATTTAAAATAAAGCAGAATAGAATATGAGCAGAATAGAATAAAATAAAGCAGAAGATAATAGAATAGAGCAAAACAGAATATATTCAAATAGAGCTGAATATATTTAAAATAAAGCAGAATAGAATATGAGCAGAATAGAATAAAATAAAGCAGAAGATAATTGAAAAGAGCAAAATTAATATAACAGAGCAAAACAGAATATATAAAAATGGAGCAGAGCAGAATAAAATAAAACAGAAGATAATAGAATAGAGCAAAACAGAATATATTCAAATAGAGTGGTATACTATATAATAGAATAGAGCAGAATTCAGGAGAGCAGAACAGAATAAAAAAGAGCAAAATAAACTTTAATAGAGCAGAACAGAATCAATTTTAATAGAGAAGAATAGAATAGAGCATGTTAGAATAGAATACACGGATATGTCACCTTCTTGCCTGCATGTGTGAGCGCTAGGGCGAGTTCAGTGGTGATGGTGCTTTTCCCCACTCCACCTTTACCAGACAGAACCAGAACCACGTGCTTCACCTCAGACAGGTTCCCTTTCTCTGAAACGTGTGTTCAGACATTACGTTTTAAAGTCGATTCAAACATTCTGTTCTCTTTAAAGTCTATTGGAACCACTGGCACTTTACAGTAGTGGTACTGTGATGCTGTTATTTATACCATGTACCATGGTGAACATCATCATGTTAAATGTCCAACAAACCCATTGTATTTTTAACTAGTTGTCAAAAAGCATCATGGCATTGTTGTGGTTCATAAACAAAACAATTTTACTTTGCTATATGTCCAAAAACATGGTCTTATCATGTTACTTTATTATATTTGTTTCAAAATGCCTGTATTATTGCGTTTATCTTTTTTTATTCTGTTGCATTTTATGACAACGTAAATTGCCAGTTGTGAAGTGATTCAGTTGTATTAAAGTACTACTGGTCAATGTGATCGCACTTACCGCTGCTGTCCATGTTGGTTTATTTTTATTTCCGCATTGTTACACGTCATACTGACGCAGAACGCGTTTTTGATCCCGCCTAATAGGACAAGCTCGTCCAATCAGATACTAGAGTGCAAAGCATCTCAACGTTACTATTGGTCATTTAGCCGACGTAGTCACGCCCTTGTTATAGTCCTTCAAAACTGTAGTATTTAAACTTTCAGCCAGGTTGAAATATTCACACATAATTATTATTAATTAATAGTAATTATTTGAATTAATATTGTTTTCAAATACAACAAAATACTGTTTTATACTATGATACCAGCCTGTGGATTAATGTATATATATTATACTATGATACCAGCCTGATTAATACATGTTTGATGCAGCCTTTTGAGTTCACCACGTCATTGAAGTTTATATGTTGATCTGTAGGTCAGATAATTTGTCGTTTAAGGTAACGTTGACGGAAAGCCAGCGCGCGCTGATCCTTAAAGCGGCCTTTAATGAGGATGATAGACAGAACGACCCGTTCCGTCTGTCAAATCACGAGATCTACTATGGCGAACGCTTTGTAGAATGAATATTAACTACGTAAAAAGACGTTTACCCAATATGACTAACTGATTGGCTGAAAAGGAGACGACGTAAGTGCGCGCCCAGCTCGTACTATGAATATTAATTAGAACGTTACCAAGCAACGATTACGTGACCTATTTAATATTAATGGCCTGCGCCTTTTCTATAGTATGATTCATGAGTGGCGATGTTGTGTTGTGTGTTTGCTGTGTGTATATGTAGGTCACCAATCACATATATCACTTACACCAGCTCCGGATGGAAACCGGTGTTTAAAGCAGGGGAAATAAACTCTACGAAACATTAACAAGGTATGTGAGTTTATATGTCAATTATGTCGTAACTTTAGTAAAGAAAAAGTTGTGTTTTAAGAGAAGTGATTTCTAAAAGTCCACTTTTGTGTGACTCTTGGTGTCTTCAGGAAACACTGGCGTTTACACAAGTCTAAAATGTTGTCAAGGATGTAAAGACGTTTTCTTGTGCGTAATAGTAATAATAATGTATTATAAAAACTCTTTATAGAATATATATACAATACATACATACACACACACAAGTATATATATATACTCTTATATATAATCATTTATATAATATTATAATCATATATGATAGTTATTGGTTTGGAGTATTGTTATTATGATAATGTTAGGCTATGTATACTTCGTATTGTTATATTTAGTAGAATTACTAATTTTAGTATTTTTATACATATCAGAAGTTTATGGAATTTGTTTTCAGTGTTTTTTTTAAACAAATGTATGCATTTTTTTCTAATTATTATGCATTCTGTTTTATGAGCTCATATTATATTTGACTACAGTACATTCAGTATTTGCACTTAAAAAAAGTCACAATGCAGGAATATGTAAGTGGAAAAAAATTGAAAATATGTATATTCTTTTATATATCCACATAAATGATAACCTAAAATCTTGATGTTGTGTTATCAACATAATCTCCTCTCACATTGCTTCTTACACAATCTTGTTTTTTATGAATATGCAGATTGAATGAGAAATGTGCTTAAGCAGTGTAATGCAAACTTATTGCGCCATTGCATTTCCCAGAAGCACACAAGTAAAGACGGGCCAGTTGGTGGAGGTATCCAGGGCAGGATTCTCGTTTTGGATACACGTTATCCATCAATTAGTGAACACCTGGCTGTGTCGCATGCACATTAGGACACAAATAATAAGTCTTTCAATCCATTTATACATTGATATCTGGTGTATAGAAACATTTGAAATGCTTTCATAACCTATAATCATTAAGCAATCAGATTTAAGTGAAACAACACAAGGACTTTCTTGAAGCATGATAGTTTCTGTGTTTAGTGCTCAGATTTGATAAAGAGTGTTTTCTGCTGTGCCAGCCTGGTCTGGTGAAGTGTCTTCACTCTCATGGGCTGTTTTGAAAACTCTTAGAGTGTAAACATCAGGTCACATGAAGCATGTAAGACCAGAGGCTCAGATTGCCAGCCGTGGCATATGGAGCAATCAGAAGTAGGCTACAGTATCAGCCGAGTCAGTCTGTCAGTGCAAAACAAGTTCATGACAAGCCTGACATCTGTGAGTCAGCGGCTACAGGAACTGATGCGAAGCTCGGAGAAAATGACTGATCTGACATATCACTTACAAATGATGGATAGATAGATAGATAGATAGATAGATAGATAGATAGATAGATAGATAGATAGATAGATAGATAGATAGATAGATAGATAGATAGATGGACAGACAGACAGATAGATAGAATGATAGATAGATAGATAGATAGATAGATAGATAGATAGATAGATAGATAGATAGATAGATGGACAGATGGATAGATAGATAGAATGATAGACAGATAGATAGATAGATAGATGGACAGATAGATAGAATGATAGACAGATAGATAGATAGATAGATAGATAGATGGACAGATAGATAGATAGACAGATATATATAATGATAGACAGACAGACAGACAGACAGACAGATAGATAGATAGATAGATAGAATGATAGACAGACAAACAAATAGATAGATAGAATGATAGACAGATAGATAGATAGATATATAGAGAGATAGATATAATGATAGACAGACAGACAGACAGACAGACAGATAGATAGACAGACAGACAGACAGACAGACAGATAGATAGATAGATAGATAGATAGATAGATAGACAGACAAACAGATAGATAGATGGACAGACAGACAGATAGATAGAATGATAGATAGATAGATAGATAGATAGATGGACAGATGGATAGATAGATAGATAGAATGATAGACAGATAGATAGATAGATAGATGCACAGATAGATAGATAGATAGATAGATAGATAGATAGATAGATAGATAGATAGATAGATAGATAGATAGATAGATAGATAGATAGATGGACAGACAGAAAGATAGACAGATAGATATAATGATAGACAGACAGAAAGATAGATAGACAGACAGATAGATAGATAGATAGATGGACAGACAGAAAGATAGATAGATATATAGACAGATAGAATGATAGACAGACAGACAGATAGATAGATGGATAGACGGATAGGTAGATAGATAGATAGATAGATAGATAGATAGATAGATAGATAGATAGATAGATAGATAGATAGATAGATAGATAGATAGATAGATGGATAGACGGATAGATAGATAGATAGATAGATAGATAGATAGATAGATAGATAGATAGATAGATAGATAGATAGATAGATAGATAGATAGATAGATGGATAGACGGATAGATAGACGGATAGAATGATAGATGGATTGATGGATAGAAATAACAGCCTCATTCTGCTCTTGTGTTCCAGGAATGTCTTGGAATAAGTATGTTGTCAGTGAAAATGTCCCGGAGCCTGAAGCCACGGCCCTCGGCCCAGAAGACAAGCAGGTGAACAGGAGTGTGTTACTCTTCCCTCACACACTGAGGTTATTCTGAGATAACTAGGACCAGCTTTACGATACCTGGGCATCTGGCCAATCAGAGTCTCAAATGCACGGTTTACAATGACACAGCACTGCTGTAAATGTGCTTCTTAGTGAAGAAGATAATAACATAATCTTAATAGGCATAAAAAGGCTGGATATTTCTGAGAGATCCCTGACTGGTTTTGTTTGCGTGTGCAGTCGGAGGCTGACTCTACAGGGTACAAGGCCGTGACGGTGTGTGTGCCAGCCGAGATGCCACCGGTGGTGCCCGTGACGGGCGAGTCGTTCTGCCAGTGTCCGGCTCAGACTGAACTCAGCTCAGACGCCCAGATCAGCCCGTACACACTCAGCTGCACCTGTGGAGAGGAAGAACAGGGTGAGGGTCAGCTCACACTAAACACAACATCAGATGTATATTGGATAGAAGCATAATATATTGAGTTTTGACAGTTTTGTAAATTTTTCATTTCTAAAACTAATTTTTAAGTGTGTGAACAACCTTGCACCAGAAATATTCTGTCAACTACTAGAGAAACAAAAGAGCGGAATAAAAACTAGAGGCACAATAAGTGGAAACTGTATAGTCGCAAAACGTAGAACAACATTTGGTCAGACATCATTTTCAGTAAGAGGTATACATTTGTGGAACGCTTTACCATCCGAAATTAAAACATTGACAGAACTCAAGGGTTTAATACACATTTAAAGCAATGGCTCTGTGAACACTGACTGTACAGGATACAACACAATACAAACATTATGTTGCATATGTTAGCACGCAGACATATGCACACTTTTGTGTTCTTGTATTGTTAAATGTGTCTAGACTCTGTTTTAAAGTGATTTCTACATCTAATTAAGCCCTTATCTTATCTCATGTATGGGATGTATTTTAATAGCTATACATTTTAAACCCAATACTCTGTAATTTTGTTTTAATTTTATAAGCCTAACCAGGGACAGGGGTTGCAAATTAGTCATGGCTAGAAACCTGTATGCATGGCATCTACTTTGTATTTTTTATAAAGCAATGTTTTATGCATTTGTCCCTGTCAAATAAACATTAAATAAATAAATAGATCGAGCGACTTAAGAAAACAAATGAACACTTTGTCCTACATGACCCTAAAAAGTTTGGGGTCGGTAAGAAATTAATATTTTTATTTGGCAAGGATGCATTAAATTGATCGAAAGTGACAGTAAATACATTTATAATGTTACAAAAGATTTTTTTTTCGAACTTTCTATTTATCAAAAAATCCTGAAAACAAAAATGTATTATGGTTTCAAAAAATATGAAGCAGCACAACTGTTTCCAACACTGATAATAATAATCAGAAATATTTCTCTAGCAGCAAATCATCATATTAGAGTGATTTCTGAAGGATCATGTGACACTGAAGACTGGAGTAATGATGCTTTGATCACAGGAATAAATTACATTTTACAATATATCACAATTGAAAACAGTTATTTTAAATTGCAATAATATTTAACGATATTACGGTATCTTATTTTTGATCAAATAAATGGAACACTGACAGTGAGATGTTGTTTATGGTTGTGTGAAGGATGTGATTGGGTTTGGGACGAGGAGGGCAGATCTTCCTCCGTGTCTC